GGCACAGCGGTCGCAATAAGAGCAATGTTTGGAGCGCAGCGGTCTGTAAACCCTAGCAACATAAGCTGCAAAGTCCCATGGTGGCCAACTACAGGTTTGCCAATCGCCTGCACGTGCTACACCACCTCTGCTTCACCTGCACGCCATTCACCACGAGGAACCTTTGCAACGCAGCATAGGCAAGCGGCTGTCAAACAGTTCGGAACCCGCATGGTGCCAAATTTGGTTCCAGCTTGTGAGGTTGCACCTGGCTGGACAGGAGGAAGGCGCTGTATCCGAAGCGCGAGGCACCTCGGGGATACTTCGGGGATCCTCCGACTCGGTCAGCAGAGCTTTATAAGAACTTCTAAGGCCTCGGCTACACCAGGGTTCCTGAATGCAAAACACATTCACACAAATTGAGGCTACATGCCCCTTGTGCTTGCAGTCCTGCAAGCAGCTGCACCAAGAGAGAAAACGCCTGGACATCTGCAGCGTTCGATGCGAAGACAAGTTGCGGTCTGCTCTTTCTCTGCACTATGTTTCTCGTAATGGCTCACGCATGCGTCCAGATTCCTACCTCACCCAGCACGCAAACTCCAATACAGTAGAGGAATCTAGAATCTAAAAGATGCTTTGGACTATAGAGAGGATGGCAACACCGCTATGAAGTCCCGGCCCTTGTTGCTGACTTGCTCAGATAACATTCCCACATGCTTGGGGAGAAATACTCGGCACGGAGAGGGAAGCTTCCTGGCGACAAAACACTATGAAATGCCTTTCGCAGCAAGCAAGCCCCCTGTTTCAGCAGAGTGACAAAGTCCCGCCCAGACAGCACACATTGCCTGGCACCGGCCACCCGTTGCACTGCAGGGCTGCCAGTGACATTGACAAGCGCATTCTGAAGCGAGGCAGGCTGCACGGCAGAGACGCTCGCTGCTGCCTCAAGGTGCGAATCTTGCCGCAGCGCTCGTGATCTGGGCAATGAAGGTGAGCCTTGTCACCGGCACCAGTGGGCAACACGTGGCCCAAAAAATACCTCGAGACGAGGCGGAAAGAATGTGAATGTACCTTGCTCTGCAATTGATGGTTGCAACCAGGGCAGGGCTCACAAACTAGGCACGATGGTGCAGACAACTGTCCTGCAACTCACGTATGCTCATGACATCTCGCTGTGCCACAGCCTCAAAGTCATGTTCGGCTGTGTGAAGCTTGCGTCCTCCTCAGACTGGCCACATCAGGACCTCCAAGCCACAGAAACTTTGGGGTTGCTGTCTGACATGTTGTGGCAAGCGCTAGAAAGCAGGTTCAGTACTAATTTGGGCAGGGTTCCAGGTCCGAATACCTTGGAACCTGATCATTCGTTTTGCGACGGAAGGCTTGTGGGTTCAAACAGTTCCACAACTGAGTTCTGAGCGGACGAAGCACGGCTGGCGAGACAGTGCCTGCATTTGCAACAACAACCACACCACAACAACCGCCACGACCACAACAGCAGCCGCAACCGCAGCCACAACAACCACAACAACCACCACAACACTGCAACCACCACCAACCACCAACCAACAACGGACAACCAACGAGCAACAAGCAAAAGCAACAACCAACGAGCAACAAAGCAAGAAGCAAGCAACAACAGACAACAGCCAAACAAACAAACCAATAAACAGCCATATTGCAAGCCGGAGAGAAGGCGAGACGATAGCACAAGAGAAATAATATAGCTGAAAGGGGAAGGCTAAACTGGCTAAACCTCTCGGGCAGCAGTCGGCCGACACTCTTTCGGATCACAACTTGCAAGCGGCAGAAGGCCGTAGGCCGTGGCGCAATGTCAGGTACGACCTCGGCTGGAGGGCCCAGCGCAATCCAGAAAGGACGCGTCCTGTGGAACTAAACCGACGGCACCGGAACCCTGTAAACTCCTGTGTGGTGCTCCATTTCGTTCCGGCGCTCAGGAGACGGCGACGCCGCAAGAATCCGCAAGAGGAATCAGGAGATGATCTCACTAAGAAATTGGGATGTACAGGCATCGTCTTTGTGTCCTGAATCTGGCAGAGCATGTCCTTTGCCACTGGCGCTCGTTACCATTGACAAAGGTGGCTTGCGACAAATCTCCGCATGAGGAGAGCGCTGTCAAATGGAAATCTGCAAAACATCCGGCCGAGGACGCTTCTGTGAGAGAACACATGGGCTCCACCCGAACCTTCCTGGAGGATTCCTGGGGGCAAATGATGTGTTGAAGTCCCCCGCTATAAGGGCTGTGACTCTGCGCGACGTGTGCCTCAAGTCATCCTGCAGAGCTTTCCATATGCCATTGTGGGCACATTCTCCTTTCTGGACTCCGAGGCGCGCCACATACGTCTGCTGTCATGATCATCACCCCGTCATTCCTGTCTACAGCTCCAGAGCGACGCTCCGGCTATAGCTGATAAATTGTTGTGTCTGTTTCTTGCATGACTAGTACGGATACTCTTTTGCAGCAGCACTTGTCGAGTAAATGGACGAGTTCCTCCCATACTGCTGATGTAAGGCCAGCTGCATTCCATGCATGAAAGAAGTGAACGCTTTGTCTGTCGATGCGCGCTGCCTCGGACGCTTGCTTTTGAGGAGCTGTTGACTCTGCTCCAAGTGTCATATGCCTTCGTCTATATGTCGCTGTTCCTGTTCGTGTTGCTTGTAAAAACAGCTCTGTTAAAACACCTTTTCGCATGTAAAACTCCAGAATACGTTGTCATAGGACGTGCTGTTTCGGCAATCTCAGCCGGAGCAGCAGAGACGGGCTCAGCCAGGAGCCGCCGTTCCTGGAACCCTCGCCCTCTCCAGGAGCCCTTGCTGCCCTCCGAATTTGGGACCGGAATGGACCGGAGTAGTAATCAGATGGGAAAGACTTGCGAAAGTCTCAAAGGCTGCAGACGCACAGCCAAGAACCATGAACCCTCGAAGGCAACCCTGAGTGAAGCAGCAGCAGCAGCACCACCACCACCACCGCCAGCAAGAAGAAGCAGCAGCAGCAGCAGGAGCAGGAGCAACCAAACAATCAATGCCAGCACCCTTCTTCTACTCTCGGGAGGTGCTGATGGGATCAAAGTGCACATGTGGCAGTTCCACAACTGTCCACTTCCGCATGACGGCAAGAAATCCGACCGTGGAGGCTGTGTCGGAAGCTGTTGCTTCAACACTTCGAAATGCGGATGCTTTCGCACACGCTAGCTCCGTATTGTGATGTAACAATTCGGGAAGGCGCTGTTTATGAACTCACTTATGGAAGCACTTGTTCACTGCACATTTTGCTCGCCGGACATCCCTAGAGTGCACGGCACACACGTTTTCCGGGCCTCTTGGACCCGGGATGGCTCCAACCAGTCCTTGACTTCAAGATCAGCCTCCGAGTGAGCCAGGCAGAGGAATGAGAGAGAGCGGAGAGACAGAGCATGCTCTAGTTCAATTCGTTCAATGCACCAGCGCACCTGGACCAAGGGCAACTTCGCCATAAGCTCATGGATTTTACGCCATAATTTGCCCAAGTTAAAAACAAAGGCTGCCAAGTTGCCATCTGTACATCAGCTGAGCTGTGAAGGATACATGAGGATACCAAAGAAGCATCTTGTAACTCAGGTGTAAGTGCACAAGCACACTCTGAACAGTTGGCAGTAACCTTTATGAGCAGCCTGTGATGTTTGCTATAATGTCTCCCGAACTCGAGAAACCCTGAGGAATTAAGCTGGCATGTGTTCAGGCTTCCATGCTACAGGAGTCTCATCACCAACTCCGAGGCGGACTTCCAGCTGCACTCGAACCACACCCAATAGAGTTGGAAAGGCCATGCAGAACAACCCTAGAATGCCCCGCGCGACTTCCATGTTTTGCCAAGCATGCGAAAACGACTTCCAGTTTTCACTCGTGGGGCAGTCGGCCAACCGCCGCTGCAGGCATACGTTTCCACTTCTAAATTCTATCTGCAGTCACAGAGAAAGATATGTGAATATGGAAATACAAACAAAAAACCGATATACACATAAAGTATAAAACTATGTCTACCTCTTTAAGTTGATTCTCTGTGGCCGCAGAGAAAGATGTATGTGTGTACTTGTTCTATGTCTATATCTATGTTAACATATGTAAATTTACGTGCTTTATGGATTTTATGGGCCTTTCTCCGAAGGCATTGTGGAAATGTATGGCCGATCTTTCCAAACGATGCGCAACAGCCACATCCTGGTATCCGATAATAAAAAGGGCGGACACGCCCTTCTGGTTCATCTAGAAACATCTAGAACCCCTTAAGGGTTGTGCATTTCTTGAGACAGTCGGCGGGGCAAGACATCAAGGTCAGTGTCACCTTCTTCCATAATCTCCTCTGGCTTTGCCGGCTGGACAGGTAAAGGCGACAGTGGAAAATGAGCTCGGCTGGAAGCTCTTGGCTCAGCTTCCATATCCACTCCTACATCGGAATGATGCTCAAAGCTCCTCTGGAATATAGTCTTTTGATGGGGCTCAACCTTCGGACTTGAAATCGTGTCTCAGTTTGCCGAATCGGTGCTTTGATCTCCTGGTTGGAAACTTATAAAAACTTGCCAGAACACTGCCAAGAAGCATAGTTGTTGAGGTTGTAGTGCAAAGTCTCCTCGGTGGGTCTTTCGAGCCACTTAAAACAGTTCTTGGATTGCAACCAGAGAAAAATGTTCTAAATGGCCTGGCATCAAAGGAAAATAACACTTATCCCTATGCTCTGCCTAAACAGAACCCCTAATAAATCCAAAGAAGTCTCGATAGTTTGTGCAAGATCACGCTTGAGTTGCCCAACCGTGCTTTGAAGGGCCTTTGTGGCCAGCAATGCGGCCACTGTGTCCTGGGTTTTAGAATTTCAACAGGGTTTCGGGGCAGAACAGACAGAACATACTTTACATTCAACCCCCTGAGCGATAATACTGAGTCTAAGCTTGCTTAAGGGTCTTGGCAGGCATGTTTTCCTGACACTTGCCAGCGTCGATGATCGAAACACAAGTTGACGTGGGAAAGCTTCAGCAAACTCGCTGCAGGAGGTTATTGTTTCGAGCAGCACTCTTGGTGAGGTCCCCGCGGATCTTCAACATGCCCTGCACCAGCTCTTGAACCTAGGGTCGGTTCTGGCATGTGGGTTGTGAGGCTTCTCGTCAAGCTTTAGAGTTTTTGTAGTTTAGTTTTTCATTGCTGAGATGAGAATGGCCCGCCCTGTTCTAAGACACGCTCCTCAACAGCCAGTGCTGCCTGAAAGTGTGACATGGTAAAGGCTTCCTGTGTGACCTCGCCTCAGGTTGGACTTTCCGTCAAGTTAGAGCACTCTGCGTAATTGACAAGTCTCGCGGCATGGCTGGGGGACATTGTCCGCACATCAAGGCCAAGGGAGCTGGGGCTACGAAAAGGGTGCCCTAAACCACCTAGTCCCCAAAACCCAAGGAGCATGGAGCGTGCCGTTTCCGTCGGCATCGATGACTTCGAACCTTCAAAGGCGTTCAGGGAGCAGCGGTTAAAATATCGAGCATTGAAAATAGTTGGAATAAGGTATGGGGTAACTTAGGGCATAATTACAAAAAGGAACACAAAGGTTTATGGATAATCATTCAACCCCCATATTATCATCTGTTTACGTCCTGGCGAACGAACTGAAGTCCAAACAGTACGCTCAAGACACTGCGGCAGGGATCCAGACATTAGCCGATGCTCTGAAGTCAAGTGGAGAACTTCAGAAAGGTTCCTCCCGTTTTGGAGGTCTGTAGACTTGAGATGTGAATACTGGAAACCAAGGGACATGTTAGCCCGGTCCGGTGGTAGATCAAGCTCATCCATGAGCTGCTGCACACCTCGCACTGCCGGAGAGTTGCAGTCATATGCCCTGAACCCTGAAATGTGGGTTGAAAATACAAGGTCATACGGACATGCAGAAGATACAGAAGGCACTAGCTGCTTGCAGGAAGAACACACTTTGCCATCTGAGCGAAATTTTAATGTCCAGGCCTCTATCTTGAATGACAACAAGAAAGAGCTCCTTCGAAATCTCAATTTGATCATGAACATCATCGTCCATGAATACACCAGCTCGGTTTGAGGTAAACTCCATGGAGGACATCATCTCCACGGCTGACGGCCCATGGTCAGCGTCGCTGAGTTCCCGGTATGCAGTGGCGAACCTCTTGAGAAGCTCTCGAGTACACCGGGCCACCCGAATGGACTCACGAGCATACTGCTCTGCGCTGTTAACGTCATTCTCCTTTGCAGCCCTCATGGTTATATCCACATAGACAGCCAAAATCACGTTGAAGATGCCCATGGTGACCTGGTTCACTGAAACTCTTGGCCGGACAATCGCGACATGAGTAACCGAGGCTGGGACCAACATGTAGCTGGCAACGTAGGGGATTATAAAGGTTAACCCGAACTTGGTCGCGAGAGCGTCGGTCATGGGATGTCCTGAAAAACAGTGCATTCCTCAATGCATCAGGACTGATGGTCCCCTCTAATGTGCCCGACACCAGTCCTTGGCTGCTGACACACTCGCCGGTGAAGCATCTGAAGGCGGTAAACATCGAGGCAGGAATCGTCCGGAAGTGAGGCCAAAGATCTCCATCCACTTCGAGCTGACCGCCAAGGGCCATGGTAGCGAAGCCAGAGATGACGTAAAGGACGGCGAACAACAAAGTAAATGCGAGGACCAAAGTTCGTAGCCCTGCAATCCATCCCTTGACCATGAGACGCAAATCTTTCATGATCTTCAGGCGGAAGACCTTCACAATTCTCGCCAGCCGAATTAGCCTTGTGAATCTCAGGAGACCGGTGCCGGCGATGTCACTGGCTTGCTGCGCAACAAGCTGCAGCATCAAATCAGTTCCTGAAGTCACGGCCAGGAACAAGTCAAACCAATTCCAATATCTCTCCGGACCACACCAATACGTGTGACACCGAAGAAAATGGATCCGAAACAAAATCTCTAGGATGAGGAGGACAGCGAAGGCGGTCTCAAGGTAGATCCATCCCTGCACAAACCGAGAATCAGAGCTGCGCTTCAACCGGATCAATCCGATCGACCCTAAACCCTGAGCTTTTCGGGGGTCTGTGGCTGTTGTATCCGACGTAAGAACTTGCCCAACCTGGCCCACAAAGCCTACACAGGCCGTTTCAAGAGCTTGAAGCAGATGTAGCGAAACACCAATGCAGACCCCTCATCGATAAACTCCTTCAATTTAGGGGCCTCAATATTTATACCTATGTCGCGTTTTGGGGTAGAGGGCTTCATAAATCAGGGCCCACCAACTCAAGAAGCGGCCACATGTTATAAGCATGCAACCCTTGGCAACTTTTTCATATAACCGTGCATACTATCAGTATCAAGTAAATGTTATTGTTAACATATATTTGCCTCGGCTTCCTGCCGAGAAGCGTCTGGAACAAGCAGACCCGGATCGGGCCTCCTTCCCCCTAACCCAACCCTTCCCCCCATGCAAAATTTTGTGACGCCCCCCCCTCCCCCCTCCCCCCTCCCCCCTCCCCCCCCCCTCCCCCCTCCCCCCTCCCCCCTCCCCCTCCCTCCCCCCTCCCCCCTGCCCCTTCCCCCCCTCCCCCCCACCCCCCCTCCACCCTCCCCCCTCCCCCCCCCCCCCCCCCCCCCCCCCCCCCCCCCCCCCCTGAACCCCACTGCCCTTCCTCCCCTTTTTTGCGAAACCCTCTTTCCTCCTTTCCAGTCCTGGGGCCGGCCCGGCTGCCGAGGCGGCGCGCGCAAGCGTTTTAACATTAGCACTCATCTAGTCTTGAATCTTGAATATGCTGCTGCTGTGCCTCCCAGCCCTGGTAGTTGGGATCGGTCTGAAAGCCTATCCTCAGTTCCAAGTTCGAGTTTAGGGCTTTCAGGGCTCAGGGGGTGAACGTGTCAGTCTGGGCATTACCTGCTATGCCACTCTTTCGTCAAGAGTGAGAGTGGCCTGAGTGCACACACAACTGCCTGAAAAAAAGCCCAGCGTCATGATCCCATTCGCCAGAATCATCAAGGCTACCTGCATCAACCAGGGGTCGCAGATTGCAACCAAGTGGCCCGCAGACTAGGACCATCAGGAAATCTTAGGCACTGCGAGATCGGAGCCGAGTCACGAAGGGCTCAATGTACATCAACGGATGCATGGCTTCCTGGGCTCTTGTTATGGAACTCGGCTTAATTTCCCTAATAGGGATCTAAAGTAGACATTATGTTTTCCTTATTACGGTGACCTAATCGTCAGCGCCTAAATCCCAAACCCTAAACTCTAGACCCTAAGCTCTAAACCCTAAACCCTTGAAGTTCCTGAACAAGGGCCCAGCTTCTGGAGGCGCGGCCAGGTCGTTGATCCTGACGAATGTCAGCTCAGCGACGAGGCCTCGTGAGAAGTTGGAAGTAGGCCTTGCTACCCTGAAGTGAAAGTCCTTCGTAGAGGGGCTTTGATAATTAGAAATGGGCTACCATGTTACAATAAAGGAGGTGTATGGGGGCTTAGTATGGCGCCGAAGATCATCAGAACAAGTTTTGGGGCTAGATGACACTACAGTTCTCTTAAAGAAGCCACCTAACAAAACCCTAAACCCTGAACCCTAAGCCTTTGGGGATTCCAAGACAAAGTCCTGGCCCTGGCCGAGGTTCGGTTTGCGTCGCTGGCCAGTAAGATCTCCCTCATTGCCTTGAACCTTGTGGGTGGAGGGTTTTCGTGGTGTAAGGGTTGAGGGTTCCGAGTATCCTAAGAAGAGGGGTGGTATATTTCCCGCAGATCAGTGTATGTCAGATATCCGCATGAAAATGGCACACCAAACCCATGCAGGCAGGCACTCCCTTTTGCATGGTGGATTGGTGTGGCTGGAGCAACTCCCTTCGGTCGAAGGATCCATCCAAACCTGTCCCACATGGGCGGTTCCTCAGGGCCCTAGGCGATCCCGACCCCTAAACTGAGACAAAACAACAGTCTGGGCCGTCCAACAAGAAGCCGGCCAGGAGGCAGTCACATACTCACCGTGCGCCTTGCACAGGTACATGCGCTAGTCAAAGATACGATCTTCTAGGGTCGACTTGATCAGCGTGAAATTCCCAAGAGAGCTCTGCAGGTAGGCGAAGCGAAGGGGTGAGTCAGTCCATCTGCCCAGGTGTTGAAGTCCCTCTTTACGTGGGAGGGAGCCAGCTGCATGCCATGGAGGCGCAGCTGGAGTAAGATCTCCATGAGGATGATCGAGGTGGGCATCTTCTTGGACTTGTCATTCAACAAGGAGTGCACGTTCCCCTGGTTGTCGCTGACCAGTGGGATGCGCAGGTTCGGGACAAATGCCGGGACCTTCTCCATCAGGAGGCGGCAAATGATCAGTGTTCCAGGGCTGCGATACGCTTCATTGGGCAGCCCTTGTCAAAGGCCCAAGGATGTCGGTCCTGCGTGACCTGGTGGAACCAGAAGACATCCGACTTCGCGAAAATAAAGGTTGGAGAGCCCATCCGCCAACGTACGCCAGGCCATCATCTGAGGCACTAGCATCACTAGCCCTTGCCGAAATTTCTGCTGGAAAAGCGGAAGAAGAAGGGAGGCCAGAGCCCGAATTAGCTTGCCGGGCCTTCCTGCAGTCAAGCAAGCTTTCTTTCAAGACCAAAATGGCTGTAAGAAAGGTTTCGTTTCGGGACATGCCGCGGTGGCCCACTGGAGCCGACCTATAGGGCACTGGCAATCTGGGTGGCCGACAGCACCTTACCATCATGAAGGTTTTCAAGACGCGGACCACGAGCAGACGTTTGTCCCGCGCCATCTGCACGCAGGGACCGTACCCAAAGCCAGAGGCAACTGTGGCCATGAGTCTGGAGTTGGACTTCCTCAGTAGCCAGGCAAAATATTCAACCAAAACGAAACCCAGTCGATCTCAGGAAAGACGGCATATCAAACGCGCAGGAGAACGGTGGCTAGCCTCTCCCAATATCCCATAGGCGCTAACCGTATTAGCTGCGCGACCCGGCAGCGCCATTTTATTGGAGGACACCTTTCCTCGTTCTTATGGGGACAGGTCCAGGGCTGCCCGGAGGCAGCGCTGGAATCCAGCTTTCTGGCTTCAATGGATGGGGGCCCTGGCGCCCGCAGTCCCTTTTTGCAAGTGACTTCCATGTCTGACCCCACTTTTCGAGTCCTTCATCACAGGGCGATTGTGCCTTTCCCGAATCCTTATCGGGCTTGCCCTTCGGCTTCTCTCCTTGCTGCTTACTGGGGCTGCCACGGTGTCCAGGAAGGCCTCTTGCCTGTCCCTTTCGGATAACCTTTCTTGGAAGCCTCTTTCTTGCCCAAGCCCTTGGCCCGGGGCACTCATTCATACACTTCGCGCATCCAGAACAGTGTATTCGCTTGCACCTCAGTCATTGCTTCTTTCAAGGAGGAATCCTCAAAAACTTTGTTGCGGATTTCTCTCCGCGCATTTCTTTCAGCGTGGAGACATGTAAACTCCGACGGGGCCGGGGTTTTGCCAGCAATGTGTCTCTGCCCCAGAACCAATCACACCACTCGTCCAGGTCCACCTTGGTGGCATTGAATTGCGGGGACTGTGGAAAGGCTTGAATGCACACGCACGGGTTATTCGGGAAAACCGTGTGCATTCTCGCCAAGTGTCTCTTGGTGTTGGGAGGCTTGCACTCCTCTTGCACTCCTCTTCTTCATCTTCGCGTTCCCATCCATCAACAATGACTTTTCTCCTGGTCTTGAAGGGTCTTTCTTCTATTTCCGGCGGCGCGCTGACGATGTTCTTGGCCTGAGTGAAGCCAATCTCACCCTTTGCACAATGTTTGAATTGTAGTTTGAGTAATTGGTCAGCACCCGGGAGCTTCACTTGGCCCGTCATTCGCGTCCAATCAGGAGCTGGGGAGCTCAATCATGTGAATGTCGTAGAGGTCCACAGTTCCCGGGGCTGCACTCACCTCAGGGACAAGATCGCCTACTCCGACCGAGTCGGGGTTTTGACAGCAATGTCTCTGCACCAGAACCACTCACACCACTCGTCCAGGTCCACCTTGGTGGCTTGGAATTCTGGGAACTGCGGAAAGGCTTGAATGCACACGCGCAGGTTATTCTTGAAAACCGTGCGCATTCTCTCCGCTTGGCCATGGCTTGGTCCATCTCCTGAAGTCGAGTGGACAAAGGGCTATTATGAATCTCCACCGTCGCGAAGGAGGTCAGAGTGAAATTGACAACCTCATCGGAGTGTGCCTCCATGTTGTGCACCAAGGTTGCACGGGCAATCTCTACCTCATCTGCCACCTTTTCCCACTCCTTGTCACTATCCACCTCATCAGGAGGAACTGTGAGGCTCTCCACCGTCTCCATGCTAGAGGCCATACATCAGCAGCAGCCGAAGCAGAAGACATGGTGACAGTTAGAGAGAGAGAAAGACGCAGAATGGGCAAAATTTCGAAGGACCCGAGGTCCAGTCACTGGGCCCAAAATGGCAGTAGCCATTTTGGCAGACGTCTCCTGACATAACTCTTGCAACTCGACAAGCTCCTGCAGGTAGCAACAAGAAGGGAGCCCTTACAATGACAAAAGGCTACTACAGTGTTACTACAGGGGAACCGAGGAACTGTTGCAGCAGCGTGCTTGTGTGAAACACCTTTCGATGAACGAGCCCTTCCTCAGCAAGGAAGAGCTCCATCAAGGCTTGCGCGGGAACCACATTCTGCTCCAGTCGGGCATCCAGTGGGACATCCTTGGTTCTTGTCAGGGAACTCAACGTAAGATAACGGTTCAGGATTTAGGGTTACAAAAATAATGGGGATCTATCTACAGCAAACAGTATTGGGGTTTCCGAAAACAAGGGACCCTTACTTCGTACCCTAAACAGTAAGATCCTTAGTATGAGGACCCCAAAATACGGTACCCCTATTTTCGGAAAGTCCCATATGGCTTCCTTATTATGACAACTTCAAGGAAGTTCCCTAACAAGAACCCAGTATCATGACACGGAGATGCAGAGGCGTCCTTCGGGGGCCACTTCCAAAAAGGCTGCAAGCCGATAAAATCCACTTCGTCCTGCCAGGAGCTTTGGCTTCGGATCACGGACGGTCTTGTTGCCTGAAGGGTTTGGGATTTAGGGGAGCTCTGAGAGCCTCTAAGCCTGTGAATGCCCGCTGCGCCGGGAATTCGATTGTGAACTCATTGAACTCACGAAGCTCTCTTGTGAGCATGTGATGTAGGGCGGAGTCCATGCGACTTGGCGGGCACGCTGGCAGGCAACCCTAGCATCAAAGCAGTTGCCAAGTTCCTGTCCGCAGCTGGTGCACATGCCACACTCGCCCACTGATGACGAGGTCCGGGGCCTACATTCTATGGGCTTCAATTTGGCGACCTGCCCAGAACGAGCTAACACTGAATTTCGACGGAACTGCGAGCATCCCAGAGTTTGGGTTTGCACTCCGAAGTCCTGAAACTTGACCTTCGTGAATGACGAAATGCTCATGTCCTGGTCAGGTTGACGCACCTTTGGCAAGGTATCGTGGGAGAATGAACTGGTGTCCCATCCTTGAAGTATAGCCCAATGTAGGACGCCAGTTCATTCACAAGCTCGTTCATGTCCTGCTCTGCAGAAGCATGGAAGTCTACCCTGACAATGCAGGATGTTTAGGACAGTTCTGATTGTTTTGGCCTAACTTCCGCCTCGACGCCGTATCTCGTGAGGCCAAGTGCCACGACGGCCTCGTGAAGGGACTTCCCCGACACAAGCTGCTGATGTGGCAAAACTCCCAGTCGTATCCGTAGACGTTGGCCTCAGTGCACGCCAGAGCTCGGATTGTCGAGCTTGGAGTTGCAGATGCTTCAAGCATGGGAGGTCATGCGCGGCTTGAAATTTGGGGTGCTAGTCCAAATGGGAGGCTCTTTAGCTTCCGTTTGTTTTCAGTGTAGCTATGTGCAAGTTCAGGTTCTCGCGCGGTTAACATGGGCTTTCAACCCCAAGCCCTCAATCCCAAAGCAAAGAGCATAAAGAGCTTCAACTGCTTCTGCGAGGGACTCGTGGCCAAGGCCTCCGAAGGCTCCATGTTTTTCAATGCAGAGCGGAGCATGGCACTGGTTGTAGAAGCGGTCACAATCTGCAGGCAAGGACATTCGCAGATTCTTCAGAGCTACCAGGGTTAAGGTTTGCAGAATATGAGAGTATGGCAGCTTAACAGCAAGATGAGCCCCGGCGCTTTCGGGTTGAGGAGATGCTTCGGGCATCTCGAGAGTTCATGTCTTGCTAGATGGTGAGATGCCTCCGCATCGATCACGCTCAAGTTGCCTTCGTCAAACAGGCGTTTCAGAGACCTCGAGCGGCCATGAAAGCTGCGACTTGCATGTTGAGGTCTGGGCTCCCAGCATGCTGCAAAGCAACGACTGGTGGCTCATGGCTTGTTCAGGACTTGTTATGTCATCCAAGTCAGGGTGAGCTCGCACGGGGGGAACCTGGCAAACTTGCGGGGAGCAAGGACACCTTTTCGGGGGCACTTCAGGGCTTCGTTGTGCAAGCCTTGCCTGAGTCTGAGGGGAACCAGCCTGCAGCTCCCTGAAGGATGGTGTCGTTCTCAGGCCGGCGACTTGTTCGGGGTACGCTGCGATCGCCTGAGGCCAACAGAACATTTAAGAAGCAGTGCTTAGAGGCTCTGGGACGTAGTAACTAAGGTAATAAATAATAAGGTAACCATACTTACAACTGCTTATGACTCCAATTCGGGTACTTGTAACTGTACTTACTAAGTCCCATGATCCTCTAAGTTTTCACATCCAAGGTCGTTGCTTAATCACTTCCCTGGCCTGCCGTCGAAAGTCATGCCAACACTGGTCCAGCAACTGGACGAACTGGTCTCTGTCCATGGCTCTCGAGCGTGATGCCAAGTCAGATCCCTGAAGCTTCGAATTTCAGGACTTGCGAAAGTCGGAGGCACATATAGGTACATGCTCAGTGCAAGACTGTGTCTACTCAGGGTTTTCAAGCAGCATCATTGATTGTTGCATGCTCCGGGTAAGACCGACCTGAAAACTGCCCACGTCGAACAAACAACTGCTGCATGTTTGTGAATGAGCATACCGAAAACCAAAGGCTTTCGGACAAATGTTCATGTGAAGTTCACATGCAATCACTGGCAACAAAGAATCTGCCGCAAGAAGTGCCTTTTTAAGCACCTCGCTGACTAGGAACTATCACGAATTATCGATCCTCCCAGCACTCACTTCGAGAACACCTGACTGAGATCCCCACATAAAGGCAGGGCAACGCCGGTGTGGCAGTTGGCCGGGTTTGCGTATGCATGGATGAGATCTTCATCTGCACAAAAACTGCGCGTTGCCCTAGAACGACTTTCTGACCTTTCTGAACATGCTCTACTCATGCTTTCAGACTTGACAGGAAGCCCCCAGAATATGCTCGTTTTGTCATTTAAGGTGGCTTCAAGGTCTCCTATGCCAGGTAAGCATCAGCCCGATCATTTATCCTGACTTTATCCTTCACAAGAAGCTGCTCCGCCTGCCGCAGACCAAAGGCATCTTCTTGGAAGGGGCCTGCTGAGTTGCTGATTTGTTGAGTTAGGCTGAGGGTTGTTCTTCCAAAAACGTCACCAAACTACTCCCTGGCCTAGCTTTGGACGTCTGGGCGAGTCCAGGACCTGCTTGCTCTCACATTCCCTGCACAAGTACTGGGATGTACTGGGCCTTTGTGGGCCTTTCACCTTTCTTACAGTAATTCCTGCCTGCATCACAAGCCTGGAATCCTGAAAGATCCAGTTTTTCAGCACCTTCCAAAAGCTGCACGTGCGCAGGCTGCATATATCATACAATACCATACAGCACGAACCCCCAAGCACCTGCCCATCGGAGAAATCTATCGACCAGGCCTCAAGGCAATTTAGTTGTTTTCGAGCCGCTGCCAAGTCACTACTTAGACTACACCTCACTCGGCCTCACTGAGCTAGCTGGCCGGTATTTCGACCGCTCGGTCTTCGAGCCCAGCGGACATGTCCGGAACCTGCAAAACTTCACAGAGTCAGAAGAAGGCATCGCTTCACATCTCTTGAAGGACCGACTTGCAGGCTATCAGAAGCATGGGACGTCTCACATTAATCACATTAACTAAAGAGACCATTTCGTGCATAGAATGCTGCATCACATCACGCTGTCCCTAGCTCTCGCAGATGCTTACTATCAGTTGCCGAAGAAGAACAAAGACCGACATCTGTTGCATCACTACTTTAAAGCAGGGAAACGCAAGCCTTGGCCAAGCCGCTGATGGTATTTGACACGACAAGGGCTTTGTAGCCAGCGTTGAAGGCATTTGTAGCCTTGGAGAGCACATCATGCCTAGAAATTGAGGGCCTGCCATGGCTTTCTGGGTTGGAGGCTGCTTGGGTTTCCCCTTCACTTCAGGTCGTTGGTTTCCAATCATTTCTGTTGAAGGGTGTCGAGAATTTGTTACTCCTTCGGGCTGTCCCCTTAGACAAAAGATCAGAAAGTTTGTCCTTTTTTACGGTTCAAAGAGGCTTGGCCGGCATTTCTCGCTTGAAAAAAGGCTGTGGATTGTCCTTGTCAACTTGCTGGGATCGAGGCTGCTTGGCTTCATTTTGCAGCGAGGACACTTTAACGCGAAAGCGTGCCAGAGACGCTGATTTGGGTGGCTTGGTTCAGTTTACTGCTTAGGGTTGAAGTTAGGGTTTCTAAATCGCAGCTTGGGGGTGAAAGGAAGTTGACCATCAACGTCTGTGCTTCTAATTTCTGTTCGCTTCCAAAAACTGTTGGAGCTCATGGTGCTTTCTTGACTTGTGTTCTCAGTCTGAGGAGGAGACCCCGGAAGAAGACAGCCCACAGAAACTTCGCAGGGGCTCTGAACCACGACGAAAACACAGGACATGCACCAGCGGCCCAGACCGAATGAATGAAATCAGACAGGCTCAAATTGAGAGCTGCAACACAACTTTGGCCCCGACAAAAAAACCGATTGCTTGATAAACGTATCGGCATGTTGGGCCTTCCTTTTAGTCAAGGTTTGGCATGTGAAAGTTTCGTTCTTTTATCGATTTCGTGTCCTGCTCACAAATCTCGTTCGACTTGTGTGGGATGGCTGCTTCTGGTGCTTCGTTTTGTTCGGGTTGTTTTCTTTAATGGACTTGTGCAGTGCCAGGGCGTAAGGAACACAACGCAAGTCGCAACCCGCTGACCGATTGTTCTCGCCTTCTCTCTGAAGGTACAAAGGCCACGCTCAACCAATAGAGCAAGACTTTCAACCTGGCAGCGAAACGAAAGGAGATGTTACATGATGTCAACATAAACACGAAAGCCACCGGAAGGTTTGTGTCAGCTCCACCTGTGGAGTTGCTCCGAGCTCTGAGCAGCCCAAGCTCCTGAAAGCGCCGCTTACAGGTCAGCGTCACGGATCGGAGTGCAACTGTCCTCGTCTCATTCGTGGAACCAGGCTCCATCACGACCTCAGACACTTGCACTTCGGCGAATCAATCTGCGAGTGACGTTTTTGACATGAAGGTGAGCAGAAACCTGCAGGACACACCGTGGGCTCAAGCGCGCCCAAAGAAGGACGGCTGCACATTGTATGCTTCCCTGACAGCAAACATCGGTTGAAAGGTGAGTCGAGATGCAAAACACGGCATCCACACAAGCCACACCACACAAGCCTGTCCAACGGTGCTCTGGCTGACAGCTTTGGCAGCCCAAAGTTGGGCAGAAATGCGTTCCACGAGGCTGGAATCCTTGAATGCCGGCACAGTGGCATTTGCGGCATTTGATATTGCGACTTGAAGAGTGGGAGCCACGCGCCGAGAAAGTTTGGACCTGCTGCTCCCCTGCCACCTGCGCACGAAACACTCGCTCGCTCATGTTCTCTCATGTTCTCTCTGCGAGTCTCTCTCTGTCTCTCTCTTACTTCTGTGTCCGCGGCGGAGACCGTGGAATGCGCCGCCGCGCAGCTGGCCTCTTGCTCAATAGTCGACAATATGAAATACATTCAATGTATGCAAGTAAGCGTAGCACTCCAAGCAGACATTGCATAGCCCACAAGTGTACGAGGCACCAGGTTGCAAAAGGTTTCGCTTTGAGGATTCTGGGCTGTCAACCGCTTTGTCGCCTGTTCTACCGCCTGTTCTGCCCATGCCTGTTGAGACTGTAGGGAGTGTTCATTTCGCAAGCGGGACATCATGCACACTTACGATATTCTGGTAGAACAATGCACCACGCGTTCCCGGAGGATGCGAACATTGGCGAACGTGTGATTGTGGTAGTTGATCAAAAAAGCCCTGACCCCGAAATTCCCACTTCGCGAGAATGAACCTCCCTCATGACCAACACACACACACACACACACACACACACACACCGACACACCGTGATTCTAACACTCGAAGTCCTGTATTGCTGTTTCTACCGATGTGAGTGCAGGATTCCTGGCACTTGCGTCAAGCTGTCACGGAACTTTTGCGGAGCTGTCGCCAGTCAAGTCTGTCGCCAATTACTGCTTTCAAGAAGGCGGACTTCGAAACTTCAATCCTCCGGTTGGTCTGAAGAAAGAGAGTTGAAGTTTGCTGAGTTTATTTGAAAAGGAATTCCTTACAAAGACCTCTCGACCCATGAAACGTTGGCAACTTCCTCGTGAGCATTCTCGGAGATGTACGTTCAGTTATCTATGCTGATGACCATGCAAGCTGAAAGCTCGGCTGAACGATGCTAACACCAAGAATGCCACGGCGAACTGCGCACAATCATTTCCTAACATACGATGCTGCCGACCTAAAGGAATGGGACCACTGCAGCATCAAGAGCTTTGTAAGGCGAGCACGCAGAAGAAAAGCGCGCTTCCCCGCATATTTTCTTGAGCCAAAGGCTGCACACATTCGACTGGGTAAGTCAGAAGTAAGTGTTTTCTTCGCGCACATGTAAAAACACAAGCCAACGTCTTTCGGTGCTTGCACGCAACGATCGCTGAACTCTCGCACGTCTTGTGACAGGCCAGCCTGTCAGCCAACAGAAGGCACGAAAACTTCGCTGCAACCGTTGTGCAGCGACCGCATCACAGCTGAGCAACGGACGATCAATTGGCAACATCTGCTTCTCTCACTTGCACACTCCAATCCTGAGCAGCACAAAGCTATGAGCAGCTATGTACTGCCTAGCGGAATGCAATCCTCTGGGATGCAAGCGCAAATCCTCAACACGGCGTCTTGCTCTTACCTGCCACAAAACTGTTACCTTTGTGGTCAACACGCTGACAAACAATTTTGACAAGCAATTACTTGAAAAACAAAAGTGAAGACGTAAAAACTCACAAACCTGTTCGCAAGCGATGCAGTTTTGAGAGGACCCCACCGTCATGCCACACAAAGTTGTCCACACACCATGGGGGGTACCACCAGAGTTGATAGACACCATGCAGAAGTTCGCCGATGTCGCACAAATTCCATCGCAATACCCTAGCTCTTGAGCTCCCAAGGTGCTCCCGAGGCGCATATCTGAGACAAACAACGCGTTCTCTGTACGAAGTCTTATCCAGCCTCACCCTACCATCGTGATCTACGTCATGTAAATGTGAAAGATGCATGCATAGAAGCGGCCCTTGAGGACAAGTGCCAAAATCAATCACGGTGACACACCCAGAGACTCAAAAGCCCCCAGATCCCCCGCAAGATTGATAGTATCGGGGGTCGGGGACCCCTTCAGGTCCAGCTTTGGGATCGGCAATTGGTTTGAACTGAACGGCCTGGGCTTGATTTTTGTGGCACAACGGCGCTTCGAGTCTTGATGAGTGGGAAGGATGTGAAGACTGCGCAAACGACTGCGCAAACCGGACCACTGAATCACACGTGTTGAAGCGCGCCGAC